GTAAAAATCCAATCTGCCCACATCATAATCCTTAGCGCTGATACAGATGTTTTCATCCTGGGAATTTATTTCTGGAAAAAGCTAGCACGTCTAGGTTGTTTAGGGGTATGGTTCTTATAAGAAGAAATACATTTCAGGATGTCATTTAGATGCTCAATCCCTTGGCGAAAACATTTGTCGTATTTTTCCAGCATTACACTCTCTAAGTGGTTGCGATTCAACTAGCAGATTGGACTCGAAAAAAAAAGTTTAAAAGCTGCATCGTTAGATTTTGTACAAAAAGCTCTAAGGCATTTAGGAAATCCATACCTAAGTGTCGAACAGTTAACAGAATTAGAAATCATTTACACCTCTTTTAAAAAAAAAAATTAACTGCTGATAAACTTCGGTATAAATTAATTTCTCAAAATATCGGCTTCGGCTTAAATTTATTAAAAGTAGTTTGCACATCAGATGCTCTTCATTTACATTTGTTAAGAGCTTCAGCACAAACATATTTATGGATAAATGCTGATCAAACACTACAACAGCCTATTGATTATACCTTATTAGGCTATGAAAAAAAAGATGGTAAATTGTACCCACGGCAACTGACGAAGCGACTATTGCCAGAATTGTTGATTCAGCCCTGTAAATGTACATCAAATTGTAAAACAAAGGCTTGCTCTTGCAAAATGACTGTCAAAATAAAATTACTATTGATTATTTATATATTTTTTTTTTTGATGACATGTTAAAATTTGCTTTTTCATATTAAATAGTTTTTTTATCAAAAATTTTTTTTTTATTCTAACTTTTTTGTTTTTTTTTCAATTGAGTGGCTGTAAATATTTGTAATCATAGGAAAAAATTGGATAGTGTCACTTAATCATTAAAATGATTCCAAAGCATTTTTTTAGTCCATTACTTGATATCTAAGGAGTCGGGGACGTAAAAAATAAATGGACCAACAATCCTCCTGGCAACATTCAGAATCATCATCTGCAAGCTTTTCTGAGTTCAAAACTATATACAGAATGCGGTCCTCACATTTTGCACACTCAACTCCATCAAGCTCCCGGTCTAAAAGTAACCCGCAACCAGGGGGTAACTTTGCACACCCAGTTTTTAATGTTTATTTTTGAAACTCAGCCCTATGTAATATTATAACATAGTTATTATGAAAGAGCAACTCAAGACTCAAATTTTGGTATACAAAATTTAATGTTTATGATTGTTAAAACCACAAAAATTTTAAGCTGAAGTTTGAAAGTGAGCCAAAGCCACCCGTGTTTACGGTACAGTAACTGTTGTTAGTGATCGGTCAGCAACTTTCTTAGAGCCTAATATCACCAACACTTCTAGTGTAATAGTTTCTACAGAAAACAGAACAATTTAATTTTATGGATCGAAAAACCTGTGTACAGCAGTTTCCAGAATTAATTTTATTTAGTTCATATTAATGTATTCTACAACTAATATTTGCACAAGAATATACATATTTAAAGGAATTAGAGCTTTGATTGCATTTAATGTAGCCATTTATTAAAAACCATAACTTTTATGCCAATATTATAATATATAATTTATGCCAATGATAGTTTTTCATTAAGATTCATTGTGGCTTCAATTAAATAACAATTTATTTCAATTTAATTCAATGACTTCTTTTGTTTGAACTAATTTTTAGCAGGGTTGCACAAATAATAAGAAAATCATTTATTTGATCATAGCTGCAGTTATGTAATTCAGGTATTGCAAATACAGTACACCATTGGCTCAATGTTTAACCCATTCACAATATGAAAGCTTTTTCTCTGTGTAGCATCGGCATGTTCATAACATTATCAGAAACTATTTTTGACAATATTCAATAATTATTATTGATTTGTCTTTATCTATAGATATATCTATTGCATCAAAACATACGAAACTTTCAATAAAATACAAAAAGGGTTAAAACAAAAACTTAAGTAGTAAAAATGATGATCTTTTTAAAAAGGTTGGCAATCCTTGGTCCAGCTTGGAGGATAATATCTGTCATCAATAAAACTCGAGTACCAGATTATAGAGATTTCGGACCATTTGGAACAATTTACTATGAAAACATCAGTGAAAGAACATCTAAATTGCCAATGAGATGGCGGTTTCCAAGACGCGTTTATTTTTATGCTTCGTGCTCGCAGAGTAGACCGAAATAAATCTATATCGGGTGGAATAAGGTCATATGCCAGCAAGGATAAATGGTAAAAATGTTACTGGGGATTAAACATATCGAAAAAATGGGATTTTTTGTTCCCATCCACTTGGGACACGAAATTTATATCAGAAGTATGTGAACCCTTTTCTAAAAAAATATAAAGCACTTTATATAAAAAACATTGTATTATGTTTAGCTGATTTTTATTTTAATACCCAACTACCCATTTTTTTATTTAAAATTTCATTTAATTTTTACTAAAATAATACTCAATAGAAAACTCGCTTCACTTATAGAACAATTTATATATGCTTGTTACTATAGAGGGTGGCTCATCGAAAACACCCCAGCAAGGTTTACGGCTTTGTATGTGAAAATAAAAAAAATCTTCGGACCCGTATACTTTTGTTTTAAGGGAGACATATTTACAGATTAATTTCATCACTGTAACTTCAACCCCTTAGCAGGGGCGGTATTCAAATGGGAAAATGGCTCTTCGTTTTTCAAATTTGTGCAACGAGTTGCTGAGAAATTTTATTTTATTTTATTGATTAGTAATTTAAATTTAAAAATCAACTGTTTAAAATGTTCCCGGACATTGTAAAGAATATCGGTTCATGGATTCAGGCTTTTGGATTTCAAATGTCCCCACAAAAAAAAATCAAGGGGAGATAAATCCAGTGATCTCGCGGGCCATTCGATAGCAACCCTTTTCCCAATCCATCTACCAGGAAACGTTTCATCTAGACACTACCATACAGGTAATGCATAAGGGAGAGGAGCCCCGTCTTGCTGAAATATCGGATTTTCTTCATGGTAATGTTGGTCGTTTTCCATAATTTCAATCAGCGCTGGGTTGACGGCATTCTCCAACAAGTATATATACTTACATATATGCCCAAACGTTTAATATCTGAGGATGTAAAGTATGAACCTCATTTCAAAAGTTTAATTCAATCGGTTCTGGCTTGTTATTTCAAAAGTTAATATATATCCCACTGAAAATATTATACTTGATGTCTAGTTTAATTAACTATTTTTACTTGATTCCCTACTTATTTTAGTCTAAACGTGCATAGTAAAAAATATATTTTAATTTTTGTGTCGCAAACGTCATTACCGTGCCTTGTTCACATTCGAATAACATCAACATATTATTTTCTTACATTTATTTACAAATTAAATCTTGCAATATCATGTCTAACACAGACGAAGACAATACAAAATAATACAATGCAAGCAAGAAATTGCATTTTAAAATGTTAACTTTTCTTTTAATGCCGTTTAAACTTTGTTCACATCCATGATCGTCATTACCGTGGCTACTTAAAATGTGTCTAATTTCATATAATTTCATATATATTAAATACGCGATACATTCGAAAAATGCCGGAAGTTTTCGAACGTCTGATATGGAAATATCCTGTCTGTCTAACGTCCACTAGCATATGTCAAACCATAAAGTAGTGACGTGAGCCGAATGAAAACGAAAATGACTTGTTACGTCTTAGTCCGTCATTGTCGGGGTAAGTATTATTTAAAAGTTTATGGACATACAAAATATTTACATTAATACAAAGGAGTCTTGCATTAACAAAAAGCAAATGGTAACTTGAAAATTCCATTACATTTTCGAATAAACATTGTAAAACACTCTAACCTTAAAATCATCATTACCGTGCTCGTCATTGTCGTGTCCCTTACATGTAACCAATTTAAAATATTTCCTTTTTTGTGGGAAATTAATTAAAATGACAAAACCACGAAACAAATTGACCAACGAAGCTAAAAGACAAGCAGAACATGAGAGACGCAGAAGAATAAGAGATAAAAAAGACAAAAAAAATTACGTTTTTAGTCTTCATGTCTATGTTTATGAGTGGAAAAGTCCTAAAAGTGTAAAATTAATAAGATTTGCAATTTTTTTATGTGTTAATGGTTAAAAATGGTTCCGAAAATCGACAGTTTTAATATATTTAGTGAATATTATTCACCCATTTGTTAGTTTAAAAACAATTTTTACAACGAATTTTTTGCTTTACGAAATTTGTAAATAAGCTGTCCAGTAAAATGTTCGGAATTCCATTGCTCGACGACGCGTAGGTACATCAAATTTAAAATACCCCTTTCCATTTAAAAAAATAAGGGCATGCTGAGGTGTTAAAATTACAGTGATTAAAATTGATGTGTAAATATGATGGGCCACCCTGTATATACTTTTTACTATATTTGCCACTAGTTGCTAATGGTTATTAATTCATCTGCATAACTTGGTTCATGCATTCCCAAGGGGGATATAACGGAGTCAAAGTTCAGGAGCTCACCTGACGCGTCCGACGACTTATCACCTCGAATAATTTCCATGATTTATTCGGTAATTTTGAGTGGCAGAGAAAATTCGGGGACGGTAATTAATCAGCGTGAAAAATAGCAGCATTCGTATAATACGTTCAATAATGGTTTCTGAGACTCGGTTATGAAGTGTCGTTTTGATTTATGAGCCTTCGCGCAATGTAAGACAACTCCGATAAATAATTTCATTCCAAAATGCGCTCAGCTTAATAATCTTTGTCAGGTTCAATTTTAAAATAGAAATCCCTTTGTTCCCATTAATTAAAATTAAATTTTGCGCAAACAAAACCATTTGGAAAATAAAATTTTATTTTATTTTATGACGAGTATCTCTCTGTTGATGTAGATATTTGAATTTCAGGATTAATATGAAATAAAAAATATCGCCAGTAAAATATTATGGCAACCAAACACAAACAATTCAGTTTTAGTTTATTTTTATATCAAAATATATTTTTATACAATACCAGTAAATTTAACTAATCCATTCTGGTTTTTATAGACCTTATCGTAACTTTTTTAGGTTCTATCATATAGATGACGGCACCCCAACCTGATAAAGCATCTCTATCGAAAGCATTTACCAAAGCTTGCGAGGTGGTTTCAAATAAATCTTCAGGTGTCAAATTGGGCTCCCACAATGATTCGCACATACCATAGAGTTGCCCCGAAGCAGTTCCGCCAACAATAAAATCTTGAGGTTTATTCGGACACCCTATCAAGTCCATACTACAAACATAAGGATTGTAAGTACCCGGCTCCAAACCTGCTATTATGGGCTCGACAAAGAAGGGCCCAAATCTTTTTTCGTAAAGCATCTGCGAAAGCATGGAGCTGAACACTTGCGGGCGTATGATACGGTCTTCCTTCAATTCATACAGGTTTTTCCTGAGGCGAACTTTACCGCTCACAGTTTGTGCATCGGTATGCAATCCTGGGAAACCGACGAATAAGTAGTTTCCCATGTGGAAGATTTTGTCTACGCTGGTGTCCACCGTCTGAGCTTGAACCCCAAATCTTCTATCTGCAGCTATCGAAACGCATTTGTCGCCTTTCATCGCCACCATCGCACCGCCGTTATACGTAAGAATCGACATTTTATAACCTGCGATTATGACGTTTCTATAAATGACATTTCCATGAATGCAATAACTAGATCTTTGGAATTAATGTTTTATTTCATTCATTCAGCTCGTTATGATGAATGCGAATTTAAAAGTACATTAATTCACCCTTTTTCCTCTTTGTGACACGTTTATAAATGTTAGCGAAATCGCATTAAAAATAAAAAGTTAATGCTTACACGCGGTGAAAAGCGCCTGCCCAAACTTAACGATTATTTACATATTCATGGGAAATCTAAAATATTAAATCCTCTATTTTCCTTTGCGAAAGTTTTACGCAACCACAACCAACCAATATCGGATTATATAATTAAGGATCTCTTAAGTTTAATAAGCCCTTAATGCTTAAAACGAATATGTGGAATATTTTACTATGCCCCAGTTCAACTAAAGCTTCAGTTAAACAATGCATGAAACACTTCAAACCCAATTTCATGAAAACAATGTTAAATCAATTTTTGTTTATAATATATTTATTTTGACGACTATTTCCCTCGTCTTAATTTCCACCAATCACAAATGCGCAATTTTGAATTACAAATGGTTTCTAGGTGAAAAAACTGTAAGACAGCACCTGTCAGCAGTTTTTTCGAGTTTACCCGCGGCAAAACTTGACAGCTGTTGTCACCAAAATTGCAATTTATATTTTAATTGTACCATAAATAATTATCATACCTAATTTTGGTATGGGGCCCAATGGGGGCAACCTTCCTTTCTGGAAGCTCTTATACATGTAAAAACCAACAGAAGCAGTTGGAGTGTACTAAATTTTTTGTTGTTGAAAATGCATATGAGAACACTCTGATTCTCTACTCCAAAAGTAAAGAGCAAAAGTAAGCATTGGTTTACGCGATACATGAACATCGAAAAAATGTCCAACTTAAAAAAAAAAAAGATGTTATCAGATTTTTGCCTAGTAAATAACGTAATTGTGATTTTCTTCCTATAAAGATCAATTATACTGTCTTAAAATGAAATAGTCAAAACTTTACTACTTGAATTAGTACCTTCATTGTTTACTAATAAAATAGTCGTTTTCACTTTTAAATACTTATTTTTAACTAATTAAATAGTTAAAGTTTGACTCATTTTTAAATGATAAAAGATCATCATGATCAAAGAATCACCTTTTTTGACCATTTCTAAGAGTAAAAAGTAACTAATTTCTTTACTCGTTTTTAATTCTTGCGGCCAACAACAAATTATTGTTAGAGTTAAATGAATCTAGGCTCCATGGTTAAATAGCCCATAAAAACAAACAAAGGTGCAAAAAGTTTAGCTCAAAACAGCAACACAAAAAAGATATTTTACTTTAAAATATTATAAACAATATTTAAACAGTGTAATAATATACACAGATAAATCTGATTTTTAACTTTTTTAAATTTAAACCTCTTAATTTGACTATTTCATTCAGTATACTAAAGATTTTGACCAATTATTAGTGACTGCCTTTTCGCTATGACAATTATTCAAATATGACTTATAATTAGTCATTTTTAATTTTGAATTCATTTTCGACCATACACCGAAAAAAAGAAAAAATAATGTAGTTAAGTTAACGTTTGCCTAAATGTCATTTTTGAAAATGCTGTTTCATCAAAAAACCTATTGGATTAATCTATATTTTGGTGTCAAAGCAATAGTCAGAGTTTGTCAAAGTTTATTTGTTCATTTGACAGTTAAAATATTGATTTAACATAAACTAATTTTTTGAATTAAAATGTTTATCCTATTTGGATTTAATAGCTGGAATTGGTTGAATCAAATATTGAAATTTTTAGGATTACCTAAAAACGTTTAGTTGCTCTTTAAATCCAAAACATTTGTTCATTTAACAAATTGTAAATGTTACTTTAAAATTTGTTAATTTTGCATTCATAAAATTGCGCTTCGAACACCCACGCCACGTCATTAGACGGTGTTGATCACGTGATGTTCGTACATCTCGCCTCAGTTCGCTTACGATAGGAGTATATAAGCTCAGGTAGCCGTTTGTTTTCGGTGTGTTCCACAGTGGAACTTCCACTACACCAAATTGCCCGACACTGACTATCAGTGACTGATAAGACCCCCAATATAGGTCAAATCAGCTGTCTGTCGGTAGGTATCTTTATATTAATTCCATAAATTAATTAACCCAACATTAGCGCAAATTATTTTAATTTAACATTTTATTGGTGTTAAGTGAATATGCTAAAAAGGTTACCTGGACATTTCAAGAAATTTACCTTAACATCTTAAAAATGTTAGCACAACCATTTTCGAAATATTACTCCGACATATCAAGAATGTTTAATTAACCAGATTAGCAGATTAGAACAAATATTCTCATTTTGTTCATTTGACTAATATTTTTTGTTCAATTAAACAATACAATTTGACACTTTCAGATGGTTAAGTAAACGGGCAAAAATCATTGCTTGTATTTAAAGTGCATAAAGAGTTGAATTAATATTTTTTTGTTGTTTCAACAGCTTATTTTTTTCAGTGTAGCATCAACAGGGCACCCTACATCTAAAAAAATAACACCAAGGCTAATTTGAATATTTTGTATAAATGATTTCGTAGAACTGCGAACGAAATAGAAACAATATTGAATCTGCAGAAATAGAGGGAATTCCTTCAATATATCCAAATAATTTTTAAGACTTGCCTGACATTTTTTCTGATTTTGTTTTGAAAAATCTGATTCTAGAAGTATTTTTTACCATGTTTTTTATTATAATTTGTATACCCTGACAATTGTAAATAATATAATTTTATTAGTACTACAATACTAATATATATAGTACTATATATAGTACTTTACCAATTTATTATTTTAACAATAAATAGAGTTATTGGTTATTGTTATTATTATTATTATTTATAATAAAATTATTATATTAACCATTGTTATTAGTTTGAAATAGGACAAGGAAATAGTATTTACACCAAAATAATAAAACAATAAAAATAATGCACTACAAATACATAAAAATGACAATTTTTAGACCTGCGCTTAATATCCTCTTTTGAATTTTATGTATGTCAATTTTAACAGTAAAAACCCGTTTTAGCTTTAGCTTTAGTAAAAAGGGAAAATAAAACCGGTCCAGTTGGGGTTATTGTCGACAAATGTTTTATTTTGGTACACGTTAAGCAGAAAGGTTTGGTGTTTACCCAATTTGTTGATTCCGCAACGGTTCCGACGAAACGGCAAAAGGAAGAAGGATAATTCAGATAAATTGATTGCGTAAAATAAAATAAATCTTTACATGGGGGTTTAAACATAAATATATTGCGCGCAACTATGGCTAATCGCGAAATTGATTTACGGCATAAATTCCAGATAACTATTATTTAGCTTTCGGAATCACAAAATAGGCGAAATAATCATAAATTTACTTAACATTGTAAACGTTAAAACTTCCGAATGATTTATGAATACTTTCCGAAGTGGGTTAATAGTGCTTGCGAGCTTTTAAGCTTCTTTACTACGAAATTCCTTGTCGTGAAACTGTTTTAAATTTTGCTCAAAAATTATAAATTTACTTCGCAATCCTCTTCTATTTAATGTTTTAGCAGAGGAAACTAGCGATCTTTAATCCAACGTACCTGCATAAATTCGGTAAACAGGTCGGCAATAAATAATAAAATTTGAATAATTTAAATTCAGCTATAAATTTTAAGGTAATGCCGGAACAACAGTGGTTACAAGCGCGAGGGATGTAAAATTAAATATTGGGCCGAGGGTCAAATTTTAAAATTCACCCTCTCTACCTACGTACGCTTCACATCTTATGAAGGATATTGTTTACCCGCAAAAAATTAAAATTGATGGGGTCAGCTATTTCACCACCAAACATTCGGCTTTAAACCCTGGTTAATACCGTCAGAAGAGTATGTTTTTAATTTAGTTATGGGTGTTTGCATTTTTAATTATAAATTTAAACTTTAAATTAAAAATAACAGTTATTTATTGTCAAATTTACATTCGTTTGAAAAAGTAAATACAACAAAAATTACACGTTTTCCAGTACCTAGTTTTTATATAAATTATGTTGTAAAATGCACACATTTTTTGACAATAACCTTAATTTAAATCAATTTTGCCAATATATTTATGCTTTTATGGTAAATTTGATTTTTAACCCATTACACATGAATTTTGTTAGTTTAAAAAAATACATTAGTAAAAATTATTAAAAAATAATGTAGATACATTCAATGCCAATATTTTTTAAATCTATTTTGGCCTGCTAAACCCAGTTTTTTAGGTCATATTTAGAGATGTAAAAAAACGGTTTTTTTCAGATGTGAAAAAAAACTAGAAAAAAACTTGTTTTTTTTGTTTTTTTTTCAAATCCGCCACAATAAAGCATATTCTGTCAATAAATAACATCAATCTTAAAAAATGGAGTAATTTTTCAAAGTGAAATTTTGAGTCAAATGTATATTAATAATAAACTGAAATGTAGAATATATTACATTTTTCATTATTGAAAATTTTGACTGAGACTAAAAAATCTAATTTCTTATTATTTGGTAGTTTCCACATAAGAAACCAATAGCAATGTAAAACTTCTACACTAATAGAAAAAATTAAAGGATAAAAAAAATTTTCAAATTTTTTGCGATTTTTCGGATAGCTGTATGTAAAAATGGTCGTATTGGACCCGTAAAAAAAGCAATTTAAGGTTTCAAGTTTTGAGATTTTTAAATGAAAAACGTGCAACGCTCAATCCTAACGAATACCGTAATATAAAAATTTGAAATTTTTTGGCTTCTTTTTTGGTACACGGTATGTTCTGACTTAACCACCAATGAATAAATGTTCTACAAGAATTTGCTATTGTTTTTAAAAAAAAAAAATTTCCATACTCTACATGAATTTGAGAAATCATGAAAAAAGTGCTTCAAAATCAAAAATATTATACTTTTTTTAGGACCAAATCAAAACAAGCGCGGCTCTGTATTTACATTTACTAAATGTCATTTAGTGGCTAATTTTAGTCCATGAACTGGATTGGAAACATAAAAAATTAGGCAAATGGGACTAATCTTGAAAAAAACCCTAAAATATGAAAAAAAAACATT